AAAAGTGATGTCTGATACAAAAAACCTCCTTTCCATGTTATCTCTGCCCTGGAAATGCAGCCTCACCTCCCAAATTTCATCATCCAGCCTGCATTACATAATATGTTATTTGGAAAGCCTAACTAAGTGTTTTTACTACAAAATTCAGTGCACACTAACTGTAAAGTACAGTAAGGAATCTGAATCCAACAAATGCTTCTCTGAATCCATCATGCATCTCTACTCAATCTAACTAATCCTTCAGTGCAAAATGATACTTGTGCATCCAACACATGCCACAGAGTGTTTCCTCAACTTTGATTCAGTGCATGTTCATGTTCTAAGATGAATCACAGTAGCATCAACCTAGGGTTTGGTCAAAAATTAACTAAAATATGCTCTATTTTTTGAACTGAACAAGCAGAAATGCTGAAACTGTTCAAGGAGCTCATCAAGAGAAGAAAAATAAACTTACTCCACCCCTCCAAATGCAGAGGCCCAGTGCTGGAAGTTGGCTAGATCCGCCTGCACAGCGGCAGCAAGAGACCTCGCCGCTCCGTACTCAAGCGAGAACTGGCAATCCTCAGGTGATGACGGTGCAGCCTGTGGCGTGGGAGCCTGCTCAGAGGTGCAGCATGTGGTGTCCGCTGCTGTAACCCCGACGGGCGGGCCCCACATGTCATAACCCCACTTAAACTGTAACCGTTCGGCCACTTGGGTTTTTTGGAACAGCCCACCACTTTTGTGGTAGTTTTTTGGAAAATTAGAAAAAGCGGTAGTTTTTCAGAATGATAGCCCACAATGTGGTAGTTTTTTTTCTATTCACTCCCAATGTTCAGCAGACTCGCTCTTTTTTACTATGCCAGCCCGCATCATCTTCACTCATTTCTCTTCATTTCCTTCTTATTCATCTCCCATCCTTACCGTACAATCCATTACTCACATTTGACATCCTCTTTATAAGATTCCAAAATCAGCAAGATGAGGTCTCACACACTATATTTAACAAACAAATAGCAATCCAAGAAACCTTGAACATGCCAAGGTGACATAGGCTGAATAGTGATGCTACCACTGTAGATCAGAGCTTCTTGGCATCGCTATATATATTGACGATGAATTAACCCTTTTGTAATAATGTATCAAGTGATATAATCTTGCCAGAAATCATTTTGTCAAAATTTTTTTGCTAATTTACTCTAACTGTGCAGAAATATTTGAGTTACACTGGAATATATTCAGCTATATGCGATAAATAACAAAGGAGTACAATGACTGTCTCACCAATAACTGTTTGAAGAAATTGTAAGTCAGTAGTGTAGTGATGCTGCTTCCTTTTGAACAGACGGCAACAACCCTTGATCCTCATTTGTTTTTGGTTTTGCATGAAGGAGCATGGCTATACCTGGCCAAACCTTGGGCCGGGTCGGACTTCGGGCCGGGCCTAGCCAAGACCGACAAAAAAAAACCCAGGCCCGGGCCCGGCCCGGCCCGGCCATCGGGCCTGTGTTTCTGGGCCCGAGCCCGGCCCGACCTTTAGAAAACTGCAAAAACGACGGGCCCGGGCCCGGCCCGGCCCGGCCTTCGGGCTCAAAAACTAGGCCCGAGCCCGGCCCGGGGGCAGCGTCGGGCCGGGCCGGGCTTCCCATGGCCAGGACTAAGCATGGGGCATCAAAGGAGGTAGGTAGCATGAAGGTGTGAAAAATGGAGACGGGGGACATGAAAAATTGGCAAGTTACGGTTTTTTATAGGTGGAGGAGCAAGTGACAAAGATAGATAGCTACAGAATGCTTGAAATGAGTGACAATCTGGTAGGGGCATTCTATTATAAAATTGACATGCGTCTTGGTGCACAGATGTAAGTAAATAGGGTTCTCTATACTTATATAGGTCCTTACAATATGGTCCAGCAGATCAGCCTATGCAGAATGTACATATGCTATGTACTTGAGAAAACCAGTGGAGGGACTAAACGTTACATGATTTTTAGCCCATGTGCAACTAACATCATAGTACCCCTGCCCACAATATCAACCGGCAACCACAACTGAAACTATTCCAAATATGCCTCTACTACATGTAAACCACCAAAAGATATAGTGGTAACCTCATTGCTAGCAGCTAGATGGCATGGTTCACATTCATGTCCTATCTTAGAACAACGAGACTGTGAACGACCGGCGGCAAAATAACTACTGTTGGCACTGCTTCTCCTGTGCACGTTTTTGCTCCTCCAAGAAAAAGACCGTTGCTGCAAGCCAGTCAGCCCATCCGCCTTCTTGAATTAACTTGAGCCGGTTTTGTCCATTTTTTTTTCTTTTTTCTTTTTTCTAATTTTCTTCTTCAATTTTTTATTATTTTTCATTCTTTTTTCCATTTGTTTTTTTATTGTTATTTTTCTCTGGTTCACTTTTTTTTGTTTTGCTTGTTTCACTTTTTATTTTCTCCATTTTCCGTCCATTCTTTTTCATTGTCTTTTGTATTTTATTTCTTTGTTTTTTTATTTTTATTTCTTTTGTTTCTATTTTCGATTTTGTTTGTTCTTTTGGTTATCATTCCATATTCTTATTATATCTTAACAACATTCTTATAATTCACGTCAACATTATTTCAATATAAATTATACATTTTTATAAAACATGATCAACATTTTTTCTGTGCACAATTTTAACATTTTTTAAATACAAGATTGCCATTTTTCATACACATTTGTAAAAAAAATACATGGTCAATATTTTTTGTACACATTTTTTTTTTGTTTTTCAATGCTTGATTAATAGTTTTCAAATAAAAAATTAACATCTTTTTAATACATGGTTACAATTTTTCTATACACATTTAACATTTCCAAATACTTGACTAATAATTTTCAAACAATTGTGCAACATTTTTTCCAAATGCTTGATTAATTGTTTTTATCATTTATTTAATGCATAGTCAACATTTTTCTGTACACTTTTAGGATTTCCCAAATGTTTGATTAACATTTTTGAAATACTTGATCAACACTTTCTTCAAATGCTTGATCAACATTTTTATATACAAGTTAAAAAAACATCATTTTTTAATAAGTGGTCAACATATTTTGCATACACGTTCACCATTGTATGAACCCTTGTTCAATATTTTCAAATACTTATTCAACATTTTCTAATACTTATTCAACAGCTTTTAAATATTTGTTCAACATTTTTCAAATATTCGTTCAATATTTTTCAACTACTTTTTCAATATTTTAAAGATTTTTTTTGTAGAGTGATTTTTGTATATAGGGGTAAAAATTTCTTTACTAATATATTCTAATCAATATTAATTAAGATTTTGAATAGGTTAATATGTGATTAGGTGAAAGTGGTAGACAGGACGTACTTTTTATCTTGAATAGTATTTACTATTCACTAGGTAGGGCACTATTCACGAAAGTGCTTTACTATTTAGAACACTATCTGGAATAGTATTTTCACTATTCACAGTAATATTTAATTCAACACGATTACCTTCATGTTTTAACTAGATTATTTATTTGATACATGATCTATTCTGGGCTGGCGAGGCCAACAAATCGACCGACGAATGTACGCAGTGGTGTAAAATCCTACTCAGTACTCACCATATTTATCATTATGTTATATCAGATGTAGCTAGTTACGTTCACTTAGTAGTTTTAATTGCAAATTTATGGGGTAAATTCCTATCGTCTTCCCAGGCAGTTCCACCCGAAGGGAACACTTCTCTACGGCCACAAGGTTCTCATTCAAACGCCACTCTGGGCTACAGAGAGAACTACACACGCAGAGGTTTCTCCTATAGGATCCCTAGCATGAGAACTCGTCCCATAAATTCATAAGTAAAAATACCAAGTGAAACCAAGAAACTACATCATTTCCACAACATAATTTACATATGGCTTTCCCTTTCGGAAGGCCCCGAAGGGATTACACAAACTAAAAAAAATTACCTTCTAACTACCTTCTTGAGCCTTACAATGCTCTGGATATGGTGGCTCTTATTGCAGAATGAAAACTACTACTACTACTGAGCAACAAGCTTGCTAGCTGGGTCGCAGCTCTTTGCTCTATCGGTGGCTGGTGGCTCTTCTCCGTATGGTGTTGTGTCTCTCTTCGCAGCAAGTGTCTCCTTTTATAGGCGAGAGAGCAGCTCTCTGGATGGCTTCCGGGAGAAATGCACCTCTTATTTTATATGTAGTAGGGATGCATGCGTGTCCCTCTAGGCGATGGATAAGAGCGAGAGATAGTGCCCCGACAAACTTCAATCTTCAGGAATCTATCAAATCTTTGCTTTGTTTACGTGGGCATTGTCTCTCTGTGGATAATTGGCTGGCCTGTGTATACTAGTCGTTGCTCTTCGGCCATACAGGTCTTTATGCGATTAGCCTTCAGAGCTTCTCCTGTCTTCAAGAATCCTTGTGCCAGTGTATGCGTACATACATGCCAATGCTGCTTAAATTTTCAAACATTGCTTATTCATTTTTTTAACTTGGTTAAATATTCAACATTGCTTATTCAATTTTTTTACAGGGGCTCTTCCCTACCCATATGATTGATAATTCCTTATCAATATTAAAAATATCTATTTTTGAGATTTCTATAAATATTCGGGTATAGGTCCTCCGCGCCCGAATAATTGATAGCAATATCAATATAGGCTATTTGGGCTTTATTCAGGCTGCTGCCCATGCCCTGTTATGTCCATATTATCATCATTTAACATATTGAAATCATATCTTTGATCGCATTCATTCTTTATTTCTTCAAATTTTTCGTCCATTTAATGCCTTAATTCTTTTAATATTTCTTCCTTCAATTCTTTCTTTATTATTTTTGAAAATTCTTCAATTTTTTTATGCATTTCTTGATCTATGTATTCACTGTCTAAAGGGTCAAGCCCCTTTAGAAGGCATTCTTGATATGTCTTATATTTAGGAGATTCTTCCTTTTTTATATTGTTTGAGCTTCATGCCTCCCCCTTTGTGAGAGTTGGTGAAGCAGGTACGCCTCTTCTCATTTGGATATAGTCTTTAGCCTTTGGGTCAATATATAATCTGGTCCTAATACCTTTTTTGCCCAAAGTAAGGCATCATCTATACTATAATATCTTTTGAATGTTAAATCTTGTCCTTTTCTTTTTGCATCTAATTTTTCAATCATAATATTTTCCCATTCCAAATATATGCCAGGTTTGTTTCCATCGAATATAAGATATAGTGTTTCTCCTTTTGGTATTTCAGTCTTTTCTGGCTTTGGAAATTTTTTGTTTAGTTCGCTAAAATATTCTGCCAAGCTATTCAGAATTGATAACATATATCCCATTTCCTCTCTTTCGATGGTATATTGGAACCAGAAATTATCCAATATGCAGCGTTGGACTTCATCAAGCTTGATATGAGCCTTTGGCTTGAAATTGAATGTATTTGGCTGAAATACTTTCAGCCTATTTTCTTCTCCAAAGAAGATATATTCCTCCTTGGTGTGGAATAATCCTTTCCTCATATCTGCAAATTTGATGCACGAGAAAATATATGAGGTAAGGTATTATCCTTTCCCTTAATATGCTAAAAAATAACTTTATAAACATTCCCAGCTATGGTGTCTTCAAATAAGACCCATCTTCTGGTTGAGCTTTTCTTACTATTAATTTTATTGTAATATCGACATATGGCTTCACAGTCTGTTTGTACTGTAAATTCTTTAAATCCTAGATATAACCTAAATGCATTTATTGCATTTACAACTACAAGAATTTCTCTATCAATATTATTTACTGTCTTTAATTTGTAACTTCCTGAAGCATATCTGCATATTTTTTCATCTGCCTTTGGAGAGTATTTATTGGGCTTTTGTTTTAGTATCGCACACCATCCTACCTTAGATGCATCTGTCTCAATTATGAAATAATTGTCTTCTAGAGGCAATTCTAGGGGTTTTAAATTCTTGACTTTTTCTTTGATGGCCTTTACTAATTTTATATCTTCAGAATTGAAGTATCTTTGACCATTTTTTTCTTAATTTAGCATATAAAGGTCCTGCTAGCTTTGCTAAGTTATCTATATAGTTTCGTGCATAGTTTACAATTCCTAAGAATTGCTACAAAACCTTTTTATCACTCATATTATCAGGAAACTATAATATTTTCTTTGCAATATGATCTTGTAGATATATCTTTCCTTCTCCTATTTCATGACCAAGGAAATGTATTTTTTCTTTGCAGATTTCCATCTTCATTTTGGATAGTATGAGCCCATTTTGTTCTACCTTTTGAAAGAACACTTCAAGATGGGCTATATGCTCTTTGTATGATTTTGAGAATACTAAAAAATCATCTACGTATACCAATATAAATGCTTGATTCTCATTAAATATATTTTTCATTTTTCTTTGAAATAGTGCAGGTGCATTCTTTAGACCTAATGGCATTACTAGCCATTCATAATGGCCTTGTGGACAAGTAATTGCTGTCCAGGGAATAGATTCTTCAGCCATTTTTACTTGCCAAAATCCTGCCTTTAAGTCGAATTTAGAGAAATATTTACTTCCTTGTATTTTGTTAATCCATTCTTGCTTATTAGGTATGTTGTATGCATCGTCAACTGTATTATCATTAAGCCTTTTAAAATTAATTACCATTCTAGATTTACCCCTAACTTCTTCACCATGATTTCTAACTATGAATGCAGCAGACCGATAAGGGCTTCTGCTTTCTCTTATAGCTTTTAACTTTAATAACTCTTCAGTATGCATTTTGAACTCTTCAATATCTTTTGGAGTAGCTTCTAGTGGTCTTGATTTAATTATATAATCTGGATTTATGATGTTTATTTTGCAAACTATAGAGTTCTTATCCCAATGTTTCATTGGTATTTCCCCAATAATTTGTATTCTTTCTAGTCTTTGCACAATCTTATCTATATCCTTTTTAGATTTTATATCTCTATACCAATTTGGCGAGAATGATTGTAACCCAATGCATTCTGTACATGTATTTTCTATATGATATTCTTCTATGGTCTCACTAAGGTCTTCGTCTTTACAGAATTCAAGGGGATCTGGACTTGTGCCATATTCATCCTCTAAATTAGATATTTCTACATTTTGTAAGGACTTTCTTTGTTTTCTTACTTCAGATATGTATGGAACATTATCTTGATAAGGGATAAATGTTACCCCCTTTTCATGTATGATTGTGGTTTGTAAAGATTGTTGTAAAAATATTAACCCTATTATCAAGTCATCATTTATTACTAACAAATCTCTTATTGTAATTTCATCTATTATATATTTTGTGCCATTTATGTAAGCTTCAATATTATATGCTAGATGATTATGGATCTTCTTTATTCTTGACATATCGGTAGATACTTCAGCTTTATTATCATCTATAGTTTCAACTATTTCGGGACATCTCATAAAATATTTATCATGGATGATATTCTTAGTGCAACCAGTAACTAATAGTGCCAGTATTTTATATGAAATATTTGGCTTTAGAACAATCTTAACTAGGATCCTTATCCCTAACACTTCTTTGAATGGTAATCGAACAATATATTTGTTTCCAAAACTAGTAATTGCATCTTTCGGTTGTATTAACTTGTCTCCTTTTTTATCCCTTACTGTTACCATTTGCTCTTTCATTTCCGTGAATTTTGGAACATTATTATTTTGCTCTTTATTATTTTCTAACTTATCTTTAAGTTTTTCTAGCTCTGCTTCTAGCTTATTTATTCTATTTTCTAAATTTCTAACCCTACTGGATAATATTCGCTCTTCTGGTTCCAATTCTATCTCTTGTCTCCACTTTTGATTATTGGCTCTTAGACATGAGGCACATGCTTGTTTTAAACACAGGCTACATGTGAACCTATTATCTTGGCTTAGGTAATATATACAGAAAGCACATTTTATGTTATAATCACCTTTTCCTCTAATCCAATCATGTTCACAATCTACTTGGTTCATTATTTCAATTTTTAAACCAACTAAATCATCTATTAGGTATATTTCATCTTCACTTGATTCATATTCTGGAGCCTCATTTTCTGCTTCATCTGTTTCTATAATTGAATATATTGACTCATCATCTTTTATTTCATCATCACATACTAATATATTTTCATTAACTCTATCTATAATTAACACTCTCTCTTGTTCTTCATATTTGCTAGAATATCTTTTCTGGTCTTTATTAGGGCAAGTTCTGCTTAGATGATCCGGTGAGTTACATATGAAACACCTGCATGTTTTATCATAGGTTTTCTTAGGATTATATCTTCTTACATTTCTTTTATGCAAGAATGGGGCTCTATTGTCTGATCTTCTTAAGAAATATCTTTTCTTTGTTCTAAAATTTCTATTATCTCTCCTCTGTGGTTTATAATATTTGTTTTTCCTATGCCTTTCTTCTCCATACGTAAGTGGTATTTGGACTATGTTATTGCAAAAAGTATAATCTGATTTCTTCATAGATATTTGGGCTTGAATACTAGTACACACCTTTCTTAATTGTTTGAAAACAAATGTTACAGCTTGAGATATATTTACCACGTTTCCCGCAGTTTCCTTTTTATATACTTCAAATATTATTGACCCTAGGGGATCAGGAAACTTATTAAAATATCTTTCTACTACGCCTACATTAAAACCTTGTTTAGCAGTAGTAGCATTATACAAATAATGCAGGGCAAATTCATTAATACGTTTACAGCTAGTTAATGTTAATTTTTCTATTTCTCTTAACCTTTCATTTTGCAATGAGGTATGTCCTAATTCTGGATCTTCTGCTATGATCATATTTGAGATAACATTCGCAAAGTTATTAGGGTTACTTCCTACCCTTTTTAATTCTTCATATTGACTAGGGTATGATTCTACCCATTGTTCCCATAGAACTTTTACAGATTCTCCTAAAAATGTTTCAAGATATGTTAACATATCTTCTACCTTAGTGCCTATGCTATACTGATTTTGTATATATTTTTGCACTATTAAACCTTTCCATATGCTGATTATATTCGGCCAATCTATTGGATCATGAGCTGCTAGGTTTAATATAGCACCATCATTTTTATAATTTTGAAATTGCACTGGTTTTTCAAAATCTCTTCTTTTAGTACCCATGTATCTATATTGTCCTAGGATATATGTAGGTTGATAATCATCTTTTTCTGGAGGCCATTGTCCAGCTGTCCTGGTAGGTCTCTCTCTTTCTCCTTCTCTTTTACAGATGATTCTCCATATCCCCTTCTTCTTTTACCACTACTTTCTACTTCCATAGCTTCCATTGCATTGTCTAAATTATGTAGTCCCACATCATCTAGTGAGTTACAGAAATCACTATTTTGTTCCGAATCATCATATCTTTCATCTTCTAACCACATTTCTTTTATTAATTCCTCCTCTTCCTCATAACTTTCTAATAATAATTTATTATTGATATCCCATTGCTCTTCTTCACTAACAATTTCTTATTTTTGAATAATATTCTTATCTTTATTATTATTATTAATGATAGAATTTTTATTAATAATAGCATTTGCTTTTCTTTCTGCGGATGCTATAATTTTATCTTCCATGCTTGAACTACTAGTGGCAGACTTTTTATCATTTTTTAGTTTCTTTAACCTTGCAATTTCTCTAATGATAAATAGCTCTCTTTCTCTATGTTTTGGCCAATCCTTTGTCATAGAATGACTATATTCCCATTCAATATGCTTTAGCTTCTTTTCCCAATGAATTATTTCATCTTCTAAATTAGCCTTTTCCATGCATTCAGATACACCCTTATTTTTATCATCATTAATTTCTGATTCTGACATAAAAGATTCAGAGTCTTCTATTGATGCAGCTTTATAGTTCGTAAATCGAATACTGCTACTTCCTTCACAATTTTGATAGCTTATGTAGTTTTCAGGTTGCTTTAATTCTTTTTTCTCTATTAATTCTCATATCTTCCATTCTTCTCCTGCTCTTTCTTCAGAACCAATTTTAAGAGGATTCATAAACTTTATACCTTTTGATTGCATACTATCAATTACGTCATTCACATTTACTCTATATCTAGAGCTACTAATATTAGTGAGCCTTCCTATAAATTCTATACTTACTAGCACATTTGTTCCTTTAAAATATTCATAACCTTTAGTTTGGAAACCAAAACTCATTTTTTCAATAAATTCTTTTACGGGCATCATTAGGTCTGGAGCTATGTAGGTTATTAATCTATTTTCATTCATGTCTCCTTCCAAAAATCCTAATGCTGCTTTGTCTACTGATTCCCATCTTCTATCTAATAATGTTATTAAAACCTTTGCACCTAATTTCTTTCTTGTCATACCTTTGACTCCTATGATATACATACCTTGATGAATATATTTATAACCACAATATTTTAGTTCATTTTCAATATTTTAGCTTACAATTCTTAAATCTAATGGGTGTGTTAACACAGTTAATTCTACTTCTCTGGATATTCTATATAGACCACTTTTACTTTA